CAGCAGGATCCTGTGCCCTCAGGCTCTCCACGACTTTGTTTCCCAAGGCAGCCACAGCTTCCACTGCGGAAGGAAGAAAAGGGTCAGGAGGCCCTCCGTGCTTGGCCACACCACCGCCCCGCCGTTCTCGCCACGGCACATGCGCACTTACGCGTGGGCAAGATTTTCAGGATCACCACCAGGTCGGCCACGTTGTGCCCAGTCATCATGGTGCCCTTCTTGTAGGATCCCACCTGGCGCACCTCTTCGATTTGCTGGCAGGGAGAAAGCAGAAGCGGGGTTTGGGGAGGCCTCGGTTCTCTCTCCGATCCGCCATTGCGTGGATTGGCTGGGCTGACAGAATCCTCTGGAGCGGCTTATCTCGCGGACTGCAGAGGATTCCATTTGCGGCACGCACTCAAGTCTGGCTTCCTGACCGTAACACAGCAATCCAGGGTGCTGACACGTACAGAACCGGTCTCTGATCCATGATCCTGGAGACCCAGACCTATGAGGAAAGGCTGAGGGACTTGGGAATGTTTAGTCTGGAGGAGGCTGGGGGGACAGGGACAGGATGGCTCTCTTGGAGTATTTGTAGGGCTGTCACTCGGAGAAGGGCAGAGGGCTGTTGGCAGCGGAGGAGAGGACTCACAATCATGGTTTTAAATTAAGGGCGGTATTAAACTATTGGCCAAATATGAAATTGACAAAGCAACAAAGTGAAGTGTTACGTTTTGATGCTGTATTCAGCTAAAACTATTTTGGCCCAAAAGTGGAATACACATAGAGTTCCAGATGTTCATCAATGGTATTCTAAGCTATGGGATGTAATAATAGCAGATAAGGTATCAACACAATTGAAGGTGGCTCAGGGAATGCTTAAAACGAATAATTTCATTGAAAAATGGTTGGTATTTTTTGAGCATATTACTTCAAACCAAAACCTGCAGTTTGTATTATCTTATAAATATGAAGAGGTACTGTCATATTAATATCTATGTCTTGTTCATATAATCAAAAATTTGTTAATACTGTAATGTAGCTTTGTTGACTAAATGCTATGTTGATAGTTGTTGTTAGTATTTGAAACTTTAATAAAAAAATTTAAAAAATTAAGGGCGGGAAGGCACCACCTGGATCTTAGGGAAAGCTTTTTTACATTAAGAGTTGTGCCACAGTGGAATGGCCTGCCTAGGGAGGTGGTGAGCTCCCCCACACTGGCAGTCTTTAAGGAGCAGCTGGACCAACGCTTGTCAGGGATGCTCTAGGCTGATCCTGCACTGAGCAGGGAGTTGGACTAGAGGGCCTGTCTGGCCCCTTCCCACTCTGTGATTCTATGATTCTATCCCTCATGTTAGATCAATGAGGCCCCAAGGTTTACAAAATTATACATGAGACAGAGAAGGTAAAGAAAGAACTACTTTTCTCCCTTTTGCACAATACGAGAACTTGGGGGGCACTCAATGAAATTAATAAGCCGTAGGTTTAGAATAGATAAAAGGAAGTCCTTCTTCACCCAAAGAGTCATTAAAATGTGGAATCCACTGCTCCAGGAAATGGTGGTGGCTACACGCAGAGATAGCTTCGGGGGGGGATTGGATAAACATACGGAGCAGAGGTCCATCCGTGGCTGTTAACCACAATGTATAGATGGAATAGATGCTCTGTGTTCCTCTATGTGGATGGATCAAAATGGGCGGCTGTGTCAGTCTGTCTGTAGCAGTAGCACCTTAAAGGCTAGCAGAATTTCCGGCAGGGTATGAGCTTTTGTGCGTCACGGCTCACTTTTTCAGATCTGAAGAAGTGAGCCATGACCCACAAAAGCTCATACCCAGCCGGAAATGTTAGTCTTTCTGATGCTAATGGACCCTTGCTCTTTTATATGAGTAAAAAGGTAAAGGTTCCCCTGCTCGAAAGCCAGTCGAATCCGACTCTAGGGTTGCGGTGCTCATCTCCGTTTCAAAGCCGAAGAGCCAGCGCTGTCCGAAGACGTTTCCGTGGTCATGTGGCCGGCATGACTAGACACCAAGGCGCACGGGACACTGTTACCTTCCCACTGTAGTGGTACCTATTTATCTACTTGCAATGTCTTGCTTTCGAACTGCTAGGTTGGCAGGAGCTGGAACTAGAGACAGGAGCTCACTCCATCATGCGGCACACTCGGGACTCGAACCGCTGAACTACCGACCTTCCACAGCCTGCAGTTCAGCGTCTTAACCACTTGAGCCACCGCAGCTCCATTTTCTACGGGTACTCCGTGGGTTTTCATAAACGGAACAGATTTGTGTCTGTATGTTAAGTACCATCAAGTCACGGCTGACTTAGGGCAACCCCACATGTTTCCCCCAAGGAGAGAGATGAACAGAGGTAAGTCTTCGGTTGCCTGCCCCTGTGCAGCAGCCCTGGGCCTCCTCGGCGCTCTCCCTTCCGAGGGGACAAACCAGGGCCGACCCTGTTTAGCTTCCAAAATCTGGCCCCCCCCCCCCAAAAAAAAAATGTCGAGCCTGATCAAAATACAAAATAATAGGGTGTTCTGGCTCGACTCTGTTGTGATGTAAGCCGAAAAGAGAGACGACCCAGCTGGCCATCCCTAATGGAGAGGACTGGCATGAACTGGGGGCTGGGGAAGGGGGGGGGGAGGGAGACTCACCACTTCGAATGTCCCAGGAGCCACAATCAAGTTATCGATCACGTTGTTGATCTTGGTCACCAAAGAGAGGATGGAGGCCTAGCCGCGGGGGGGAAGGAAAGAGGCATTCAATTATTACCACTATTTGGACTTCATTCCTCGTTTTAAAAAAACACAAAACTGGCTTGCACCCCATGGGTCCATTCCATTAACAGCAGCACTTTCCCTCAGTGGGAGGAGCAACAAAGGTTTCTCTCGCGGAAGGGTAGTGCCCCCATTCGTGAAACAGACCCTCAAGATCTAACGCGGTGTGTCTCCCTCAGTTATCACAAAAAGCTCGAAACAAAGAAGAAACTGGATTTATACCCCGCCCTTCACTACCCAAAGGAGTCTCAGAGCGGCTTACAAACTCCTTTCCCTTCCCCTCCCCACAACAGACACCCTGTGAGGTAGGTGGGGCTGAGAGAGCTCTGACAGAAATTGCTCTTTTTCAAGAACAGCTCTTATCAGAACTACGGCTTGCCCAAGGTCATTCAGCCAGGTGCAAGTGGAGGAGGGGAATCAAACCCGGTTCTCCCAGATTAGAGTCCGCGCACTTAACCACGACACCAAACTGGCTCTCAAAAAGCTAAATGGGAGTTAAGATGAGCACCATCTCATGTCTTGTGCAACAACAGCCTGCACAGAAGAGAGATTCAGAGGGTAGCTGGTGTAAGTCTGCAGCGGAACAGCTAGATTCAAGATGGTAACACCTTGGAGACCAGGAGAGAGACACCTTTGCACATTGGCACACAACTGGAGAAAGAACACATTTTCTCACATTTCCCCCCCCCCCCCCCAAAAAAAACCCGAATGGTGCCATTCTTAATGTTCAGGTTTGTTCCCAGCAACACCCTCTTTATTTTAAACTTTTCAGGCCACGTGGAGGGCGGGCTCCTGGGTTCTATTATGCATTCTTATAAAAGAACTGGAAAAGCAAGCCAGCCACTTTGCGAAATAATCGAATCAACCCAAGGCGCGCTGGCCTGACAGCCATGAGCACAGCAAAAGCCTCGGAGCATCGTCTCCTGGAAGCAGCGCGGCAGGACTCACTTGTTCAGATGAAGTTGGGGCAAGATCCTGGTTTCTCTTCAGCAGGGCTTCACTTAAAGTTGTCTCGTCCGGGGCTGGCTTGACACGCGGGAAAGCCATCTCGCACTGAAGGCAGGAGAAGACTTTTATTATTAACATACAATGATTCCCGGTTATATATTATATCGGAAGGATAGGGGGGAAGGGTTGGAGGTGGGGCTAAGAGAATTGGATTTGCTTCTGGAAATGCTATGGGTTGAAATAGTGGGCCCAAAAGGAAACTTAACACTGGGAGTTTGTTATCACCCACCAGATCAAAAGATAGAGGATTATAAAATGATGAATGAAAGATAGCAGCTAGACAAAAAAAAACGGTGTCATAATAGGTGATTTTAACTACCCACACATTGATTGGGTCAATATGTGTTCTAGTCAGGAAAAAGAGATTGAGTTTCTAGACACTTAGTGACTGCACTATGGAGCAGATGGTCACGGAACCAACCAGGGGAGAGGCGATCCTGAATTTGGTCCTAAGTAACGCCCAAGACCTGGTGAGAGATGTAAAAGTGATTGCACCACTTGGGAACAGAGACCATAATGTTACTGAGTTCGACATTTGTATAAATAGGGAGTTGCCCAAAAAGACCGACACAACCACTTTTAAGTTTAAAAGGGGTAACTTCTCTGATATGAGGGGACATGTGAGGAAGAAACAGAAAGGAAAAGTAGAAAGGGTCAAAACCACTGGGGAAGCTTGGTGACTACTTAAAACTACAATCCTAGAGGCTCAGAAAAAATATATACTGCAGGTTAGGAAAGGCACAAATAGGTATAGGAAAAAGCCTGCATGGTTAACTAACAAAGTAATGGAAGCTGTAAAAGGTAAGAAGGATTCCTTTAAGCAGTGGAAAGCTAGTCTCAGTGAGGTTGATAAAAGGAAACACAGGCTGTGGCAAATAAAATGCAAGTCTGTGATCAGGCAGGCAAAAAAGGAATATGAGGAGCATATAGCAAAAAATATAAAGACCAACAATAAAACTTTCTTCAAATACATTAGAAGTTGGAAACCAGCCAGGGAGGCAGTGGGGCCCTTGGATGACCAAGGGGTA